CCTCTCCTCTCCTCTCCTCTCCTCTCCTCTCCTCTCCTCTCCTCTCTTCTCCTCTCTTCTCCTCTCTTTTTTTTCTTTTCCTCTCTTTTCCTTCCTTTTTTCTTTTCTTTTTTTCTTTTCCTTTCTTTTCCTTTCCTTTCTTTTCCTTTTTTTTCCTTTCTTTTTTCTTTCTGTTACTGCAGAGTATGTACCTTCAGCAGTTTTGCTCTTTGCCCAGAGTGCTACTGATGTGTTAATAAAGCAGGCAGCAAGGCTGCTATTTAATGGAGAGAGCAAAATATAGTCCATAAAATACAGTCCAAAGATGGACTGTGTGGGCAGCATTTTCCTAGCAATGACGCTATCATTGTAGCTGTGAAATAGTGGTTCACCTCCTTTTGTGCACATTTTTATAAGCATGGCAAGAAAGCTCTTGTTCATGTTTAATGAAAATACATTGCTATTGGTGGTGATAATGTTGAAAAATAGTGTTCTGTAGCTGAGTTTTCACTATCAAGTAGAGTTATTGTGCTCCTTGCATCCGTTGTAGCTTCCATGGAAATAAATAGGAGGCATTATTTTTGGAGTGGCCTGAGTTGTAAGAGACACACAGGGATCACCGAGTCACACAGAGCAGAGCTCAGCGCTGCCCCTGCGCTCCCTGTGAGGAGCTGCAGCTGCCATCAGGCTCCCCTCAGCTCCTCTGCTCTGCTCTGCACTGCGCAAACTGAGTGACCACAGCTGCTCCTCATACATCTTGCCCTCTAGGCGCCTCACCATCTTCATAGCTTTCCTTCAGACAATCTCTAATAGTTCTACGTTAGTTAAAAATAATCAACAAAACCCTTTTTTTCCCTGAAACTCTATGGATTTGGACTTTGGTTGCAGGCAATTAACTTCTTAAGAAACAGAGTGCAATATAAATAAAATTCCTTTGAGGAAATCCACTTCTGTGCATTTGATCATTGCAGTATTTCTTCCTGGGATAGCTAAGCACTACAGCACTTCTGTTCAAGGTTTCAAACGTAAAATGCAGATTCAACTAAGAGACTCAGGCTGACCATTGCTTTAAGTAAATTATTTTAAGCATGATTTCACTTAGTTAGGAGTATTTCAACCACACTGTTTGTCCTGTATTGTCCTCAGTAGCCAGTAAGAAAGTGGTTTTGTCTGTTTTTTTGAGGAATGACTCATTTCGAGTTCAGCTCTTCCTTGG